ACAAAAATATTGCTCCATATCCTACTTTGGGTAGTAGTGACTGGGAACTTACTAGCTTGCACACAGACATCCAGATGCAATGAGAGGTCTCTCCTCATCCAGGAAAAAGAAAACCAAAGACACATGGAAACAATTAGTCAAAGGGACTAGTACACCATGTGATCCTCAGTCTATATGAGTATGAGACCACAAGAACTAGATGGTGCCTGGCTAGCACTGTCAGCCATTCAGAGTGAGATCTATGTAGGAGATCCTAGATAGAGTGGGAGAACAATGTGGAACAAAATTCAAAATCATAAAAAATAGGGGGACCAGCTTTGGTGGTCTGATAGAGCCTGGTGGAACCCCTGAGACTATGTCCCCTGACTGCCCTTCAAGTCTGGAGTTGAACCCACTCCTGTGGCTTCCAGCAAAACTAAAGACAGGCATATGAGCTGAACATTTACATTAGGTATATACACTCTTTGGAGAGATAAATCATGGGAGAATAGAAGGGCTGTGTATGCACAGGGAGATAGCTTGGGGTGGGGGGGCAGGAATGCATGGAAGGAAAGGACACAGGGAAGAGGTAACTATGAGGAGGAAGTGGGAGGGGAACAGTTGCATTGTGGGAAATTGCAGTCAATGTCATGAGACAAAATGTATGTGAGTTGCTGTATGGAAAATGAATTTGCTCTGTAAAATTTCACCCAAATCACTATAAAAGTTAAAAAAAAAAGACATTTATGTCCTGAATGATAATTCAGTTTGCAAAACAGATAATCTGCTTTCCTATTTTCATCCTTAGGATCACAGTGACAACCTGCTTAGAGTTGCAGGGACAATGGCCCATGAAATGGGCCATAACTTTGGAATGTTTCACGACTCCTATATTTGCAAGTGCCCTTCTACAATTTGTGTAATGGACAAAGCACTAAGGTGAGGCTTTCTAAAAACATACTATTTATCCCTGCATTTAGTTCCATCTGGCCTATATTACTCTTTATGTCATTTTTAGCAACATGTTTATATTTTCCAATTTTTGAATCCACACACCTTTGTTTCAAAAAATGTTTAGCATTTATCAATTTTTCAATGAATTCAGAGTAAGTGTTGGTAGGGAGAGGGTTCTGGGA